GTGAAATTACGTTTTTGACTGTAAAACATTTGGGTTCAAACGTGATACGTAACTCAGCACAGTCATTTTTGCCTTTTTTTCAATGCGTTCGTAATAAATTCTCAGATTTACGATGTTTTTTCCTAATTACAAAGGATCGACTGCCCATGTCGATTAATTACCACTTGTACACTTTGTTCCTTTAAATAATTACTTATCATCGATGTTATCGAACCAAAATGCCCGACATATTAGACTATCACGATCGATAGCCCCTTCCTGCAATCAGAGGAATAAGGTTGTTAACACTCAATATCCTTCCATATTCCATTATTCACTTTATTCTTTTAATGATCAACTGATGAAATTAATCAGTGGACAACATGATACCATTCTTAAGCTTAACTTAATTAGAGAACAAAGGAAAGCTGGTGAGTACCGTGAAACTGTCTGGATTGGATTGAACATCTTAAACAATTTATATCCCGTATGAGATGCAAACGCAAGCATTTTACGCGTAAAAGGAAGCAGTATCAATCACCTGGATTCATTTTCAGTGGACTGGACTGATTGTATCGGTTTATCTATGCGTAATGCGGTAAAATCAATCATTTCTAGCTTGCAAAGATAAAACAGCAACTGAACTATACCAAATACCGAATAAAAGTACAAACAAATACAAAGAGTTTCACAAATGTCATAACAGATCCGAAGCCACAAAAGAAAAACATAAATCATTGTTAACGTGAAATAATACTTGATGCTGAAAGGTATACGCTGAAACACAGACAGAACTGTCGAAGAAGCAGATCATATATATATATATATATATATATATATATATATTCGTTGTTAATTACGTCATTTACAACTCCGGGAAAATTGGTTTGAACAGCTGTTTCATAATAAGTCTATTTATGAATCAATATAATGATTCCATGTTTGTAAATGATTTAGATGTTACTAACTTTAACAAACGTGACTTGCGGATCCTTTTGGATATTTGACATTTAGCAAGAAGCACCGAAAATAAGACAAAATTCGCTTCCTGGGTACAAGTATACGAATGAAATGAAAAAGCCTACCGGAGACGCAGGTCTGACAATGGGCAAGAACCTTAAAACCGGTCGTGTGCTTCCAGGGAAATTTTTGCGACTTATTCATACATTACTGATTGCAATATATGTGTTAGTCTTATATTGGGTCAAGTTGTGAAAACTCATGTTTCTGATTTCCATATTTAGATTCATCACGGGAAGATAATGTTTTTAGTTTCGGTATATGGTTTCACTATGAGCGTTTCCTCCATTGTATTATTTCTATGCTGGTTTTACTTACTCGGATAGACCTTTAATGCCCAGTTTTTAAATTAATGCTTACCATGACTTGCTGATGCATATATTGGTTAGATGCCACTAATAGCAATACCTGCGATTGGAATACCCGAGGGGATCGCCGTTTGATTACTATGTCCAAAAATAATAGATCCCGCGCTGCAACTAATAGGAAGACCACGATAGAAAATAACGTGTCGCCTGAAGCAAATGGAGAAAGATCACATCAATTAAAAAGCCAATCGCTCTTCCACATATGTACATACAAACATACTTGCATGAAGCTCTACCCTGTGCCTCCTACTAATGACTTACGACCCTAACCAATGAGTGTCATTGTGTAAGCTTGTTCGCCGCATGATATCTGTCTCGAATGAATTTCGCAGATCTAGGTAAATGCACGGCAATAATATGGAAAGTATGGAGGAGCCACCATTAATCGCCGAGGCCAATGGGTATCAACTCACTCCAGTTCCCCCTTGCAAAATATGGAAATATGCAAACATCAAAACACGATAAATGGTTTTATGCATCAGTTTCATACATAACAAAATGAAACTTTTTCGACGGGTGGCGTTCAAATATAGTTCTGATCATAAAGATACACCTAGCCCCATCAATAGTTTGCTGCAACGAATCTTCATTTGTTACAACGAATTCTCTAATTCCGACTGATATGTTATACCTATGATTGTAACGCATACTATAAGTAAGAACAAAGTCCTCTCTTTGTAATGGGATGGTGGTCTATGTTAACTCCGTGAGACTGATTTCCCTTTCCTTCATTATGGGATACAATTTGGCGGATAATGGCTAACACTGAACGATACACGAACACACGTGCATATGCAATGTCTTAAAACAACAACTTCATCTCCCCCCCCCGACAACTTGCATTAGTTTCATTTAACTCAGACATATGGCTTAGCCACACATTTTTCCCCGGACAAATGCGTATCGAATACACAAGCCTAACAACCAGCACTTATTGTAGCGCTCAATGAGATATTTCATCCAGCAATTCCATATTACTGTTTACATAAAATAGATGGATCTGCAATATTTGTCATTGACACAAAAATCACACCTATCGATGCAAGTTAGGAAAACTTCTCTCGCAAATAATCGAGTACCAAACATTTGCAACTACCTTGTTTACAGTTAATACGGAAACCTCAAAGTGATTTCTATTGTTTAGGGGATTAAATCGGAGATCGCTTACACACGTTCTCAGTTTGATCCTTCTATAGTCACACTTCAACTTTCAGAACCACGCTTGTAATCGGTCACCAAAATTCGCAAAATCCAGAAGCAAGACCATGAGGGTAGCAGTAAGACTGACAAAAAACAAAGGGAATAAAACGATGATTAGTGAGATATTGTCGACCCTCTTCCCATAATCTAATCAAGGCTAATTAGATTATGTACTCAAGTTTTACCTTAGATTGCGCGGCAGGTGATGTCCTTGTCGCAGTTACGCGGTTTCTGCTGGTTGACATGTGCATGCTAGACAGCTTCCTAGCTGGTGCCGCCTCATACGAGCAGATCCTTGGTATGAGACCATTCAGAGGGTTCACTGATGATAATCTCGTGTAGCACTGATTTTTGTTCTGGCTACAATGATTCTCGGTTTCAAGTCTTTCCTTCTATATCGTCATGTCACTTGTGATTTGAAGTCACTTATTCAAATTACCAATGATCGCCCTCCGTGAATTGATCGTAACTCCGTTTAACTGTGCCAATCCGAATGACTTCCATTTATTTATTTACGAGCCCATTCGTCCACAAGAAATAGTGTTCCGGTGTCGATAAATACATTTCTCGTTGTGTTTATCCCGAACACTGTTTACGAAACGTACTAATAGGAAACAATATACCCTCACAAAATTAAGCATTGATTTTCGAATATAGGTTCTACCGTATCTTTTACAAATAGTTTAGTAGATTCATGGTAACCTTTAAAGACAATATCGCTGAAAATTAGGTTATCCCCTCCCCCCTCACTCCTTATCGTTAATTTGACCAAATTATGTAATATAGGGTTCATTCCTCAATATTACCCCAAAAAGTATGATTTTCCTCCCAATTATGTGCTTATGTTCGGGAGCAAGTTGAACACCACACATACAAACACAAACGCTTGTCAATAACAGTGAATGTAAAAGCATAACGAATTGAGTAAAAAGCGAACCATTGTCATGCAAATCCTGAACACTTCACCAGCAACGTATGCATGGAAAATTTCTCACGGAAACACGGTCAAATCACCATCATTCCAAACCATGTTCAGCTAAAAGTTTGCCGTCGTCCAATTAAGTCACTAAGCGATACGGATAACGCGCTGAGGGTGATTTACAAGAAAATAATCTAGCTCTAGGGACACTGGCATATTTCTGGTCTGAAAGAACCTGAGAAGCAATTGCTTTTCGGTCTCTTGGAAAAACAAACTGTGGTATATTTAANTTAGTCACACGTTTGTCTTAGAATACTAGACATACAGTTAAACCTTACTAGTTTCATCCTTTGTCCATTCCGGTCAAATGGTGACATTATGTAAGGTGGCAATTTAAATGAAAACCATTGTTACGTTTGAGCTTTTCACGCCACTTCTTATTTCGAATAAGATTTGTTTAAGCTCGGTAATTTTTGTTTCATGACCATCTGCGTTGCCTTGGCGCATTAAGTCTAATCTAATGTACTCACGCTATCCACAGTGGCTGTCACGCACTCATTCTGCCGCCGCTTGATTGTGACACTCTCCAAAACTCTAGAATCACCTGGTAGAAGCTTCAAAGTCAGTTAAGTGCAGTTCACCTGAGTAGTGCATTGAATTTTCCTGAAGAATCACGCTAGTGATGGGAAAATTCACCTGTGGCACCATTCCCCATTTCGTTCAGCCAAACAGTCTGCATCCTTATCCTGCTAACGACCAGCCACGTACAATGAATGGAGCGATATACTGATCTGTACGTGAATGGTAAAAGAATAGGAATGATCAGTCTGTTCCAGGGTAGTATGTATGATTCCGTGCAACCATCAGAATGACTTTTTAATGTCACAGAACTTAACCATTTTGTTCACTTGTTTAGCGGGGAGGGTATAAATATACAGGAGCGTCACTGCGGCAGAGGTCTGTTTTTTTGTGCGCTCTTGGTGCTAGTGTACACATTCCTTCAATACATCGTTAATTTCCTCGTCACATTATGCTCTTATTCTTGGTGTTATGCAAACGCACGGACTATCATTGGTGCACTAATTCAATAACTTAGCTCCATGAACTTTGCGACCGGCAAGTTCCCTCAATTGCGCTTTATCTAACTTGACTTCAAACCGTGTTTGTTAGTTTAGCTTCCTCCACTCTGTAAGGCAGTGTAACGAAACTGTGAAATTTATTTACGTTTTTCTCTGGCCTATCTATTGTCACTCGAAATGCGAGGCAAAATTAGCTGCTAGGGCCTTATGTGGTTTGCCAATCCACGTGCAAAGGCTGCAATAGATAGTTTTCCCTGAACCATCTATTCAATGGGTATACGCCCTGCATTGCGTCTCTTGTCTCTGACAAGGCACATTTTCCCCTAATCCTCCTGAGAATGTTATGACAACTACCCCCCATAAAATGCGTGTGCAATTCCCACCTTTCTAATATCAGTAAACAATGAGTGCGCAGTTTTATTATCCAGCAGCTGAAGAAGATAGCTCTCCCATTTTGCATATCTCCAATATATATATATATATATATATATATATATATTGCGTGATCCTTGTTTTCAGTCTGCGTTTCGACTCTCATTTACTCCTTTCAAATGGAATTCCAATTTTCAGTTCCTCATCTTTTGACAAGATCAAAATACATCTCATTGTCAAACATGGTAACCATTTCACAAAAATATCCCTATTTGAATCCCCAGGATTAATTAAGCTAATCTCAGGGATACAGTAGGATGATATGATAACAGCTCGTGAGGCCTGGTGCTTCTGGCTTCTGGTGCCTGCAAACTGGACACCGAGGATAATTTTCGATAATGGTACAATAAGTAGCTTGTGAATGACTGGACAGAGCTTTCTGGAACGCAAATGAGGATACTGTAGCGAAATTAATGTGGGTGTAACAAATATAACAATGTTTTGATAGAAGAGTACCGGATATGCTTGCCTGATGGCTGCCGAAAACTAGGAAACCGGTCGCGTACTTCGAAGAAAATTTTGTCCAGTCGTTTACATGCTCCTTATTGTCGTTCCTAAGTCTAGGTCAAGGACACTGCTTCTACTCTGACGCCTTTAACCGTGTTTAGTGTGAAATGAGTCACCTTGTGGCTGACCCGTCCCCGATCACGTGCCCCTCACCGCAGTTGGCTCTTTATAGATTGCTAATCTGATTCCTCCCGATGGTAAGAATTAAATTACCCGCACTGGAAGCCTGACAAATGGTGGCATTCATATCGCTTGTTCCAAAACCACGGGATTGTGGAACATAAATTTTTGTTGGTTTCTCCCTCCTGTTCCAGAGTGTTCCGGTTTCGTGCACGGAATCGGCAAGTTTTGTTTCAGGCGAATGTCTTCGTCTCTACCATACAATGGATGCCTTCTTACAATGCTTCAAGCTTGTTTTGTGACTAAAATACCAAACCCCATGATATGTTCGATGGGAAAATGCTTCACAATAGTGAAAAGCCTGATGTACGATGAAGTGACTGGTTAAGATACTCAGGCTCCTATGACCAACTCTCTCCCTCTCATTTACAGTCACCCCACGATGCACGCCCTCATCTCATCCATTTGTCAGACAACCCACGTTTTACCCTGACCACAAATATAACCTCATTTGGTTTGTGTAATTTAGAGTCCTCCCTGAACAACAAAAACCCGCCTAATTTGCTAGTTACTGTACTATTGAAATAACGTGAAACAGAGAGTAGAGCATTAGGCAACGAAACACCGACAAAGTTAGACGCGACAGCAATTTCAAATTCAGACTGCACTCATTTGATCAAAGCACGGGACGTGGAGTTGCACTTCCATGAAAACCACTGAAGCAGCTCCACATCAACGCACGTCAATCAATACAAGATGGAATACTGTGCTTGTGTTGCGATGTCCTTGCGCTCCCTTCATGGGTTAAACACTGCGTTTCGAATAAGCAAATTCCAAGGACCTAGCGTCATCAGCTTGTCTTGATGAGATGAAACGGCTGGTTATTATCATTTGTTTAATTAACGAATTCTGCAAGAACACGCCTGAACCGCCCGTCTCCCATCAAGTGATTTCTTTATTTGGTTCACCACGTACGATGAGTGCACCACCGGGAACGACCTGGGTCATAGTTTGCGTTTCAATAAAGGCTCTCCGTTTATCTGAGTCTGTTGTACCACATCTCTCGCCACTGTACGATCAGTTCTACTGTACGATGGTGAGACCTTGAACTTGCGAGTAGAAGACATCCGTCATTTAGCAGTGTTCGACAGTCGATGCTTACGTAGTCTGGCCCAAGTGGGATGGAGTGAGCGGGTTAGTAACATAGAAGTAAGTCGTCTTCTGTTTGGGAATGCATCGAACAAGAACTCGCTATCTCATCGAATCCAGTTCAGTAGGCTCCGTTGGTTAGGACACGTTTTACGCATGTCCGACGGTCGCCTACCGCAGCGCGCCTTGTTTGCAGTGGCTGTTACAGGTTGGAGAAAGCCACGTGGAGGTCAGCAGGTGACGGAAACGAGGCATGAAGAAATGCGCACAGCAATTAGATAGAGTGTCTCTCGTCTTCCGGGTTGGGGTCCGTAAGACTTTGTAACTGGTTGGTTGGACTGTATAAGCATGGACTAGGAGAACTCTAAAAGTTAACAAAATGTTGAAAAGTGGTTCTCGTAGCTCGGGTGAACTGAATTCCACTTCGCCTGTTCGCCAAGCTTGGCAATTTGTTTGCAAACGTTTCATCACCAGCCGAGGTGATATCATCTGTGCTTGTGAAGTGGTCAAGTCGACCAGTGCAAACCCCCGTCCAAAAGCGAGCAACTTAATGACGTCAAAAGTTTATTCAACTATTATTGTAAATAAACTTCAGCTTAGGCTGAAGAGAGATATGAACTGAAAAGTGTCTTGAGTGCAGTGTAGTTGGGGGCTTGTAGAGCACACTGAACCGTTCAATCGGCGCCAAAAGCAGACCATTCCCACACGACTAATGGTGCATTATCCATGCTACGTGCTCAAAACCATGTAAAACTAGTTTCTATCTGACCGATATGCCAATCATGTGAACAGGTAACAGTCAATCAGCAAAACATTGAATCTGACTGAACCTGACCGGTTCCAGTACCAGTATATACACTTAAGCAAACAATACAAGCTGTCCGAATATTAAGCCAACTCGTGTTCTGGGGAAATCGACACCCGAACAGCCTACAAACACCGAATTACATTCCACACACTGATATATAATTATTCCGGAATAGGAGAAGAATATCCATTGCGTTGGGAACCCAATAGCTGGTTCATTACTAGATTGGCGAGGGACTGCTCTGGTAGGGCGCGACAGAGTGAGGCGTATCACAAAAAGAAACAGATCGATTTACCTCAGTGCTGTTTGCGACATATTTAAGTATGGAGGAGATAGCGAAAAATTCGGGCAATTCAAATACTTACGAACTTCAAAGCTGAGATTATAGTCACAACAGCTAACTCCATCATTATATTACTATGGAACGACTCTCCACCAAATGACATTATTTATAATTAAAAACTTTTCCCTTGGTTTTGCCTCTTTTATTTAAGCTGTCGTTTCAGTTGTGAAAAACAACCGGGGGNGGATGGGGAAGAAGTAGAATAGCTATAACAAATGTACAGCAGCAGCAGCAGCAGCATCGTTTTGTATCGAATTGGCGAGTATGACCGGAAGCTTTTGTACAGCCTAGTCTTCAATGGATCGCATAGATCTGATGATTGCTTGGGTTTTTCTGTTCCGATCGTCGTCACTGTCGGGCGGAGAGGAGAGAGGGAAAGGAAAGAAACGCGCAGATAAGTGACAGAAAATCATGAGAAAAAGCAGAAAACCTACAATAAGAGTTGAAGCGAGCAACTGGATTTTATTTTGTAAGATAACCAAAACACTGCATTCGTGTGACTCCAATCAGCATTTTTGTCGTGGACTGAATTCTTCGTCATTGTTCACCCCGAAAATTTTTCTATTTTGAGCTCTGAATCCATAGCGGACCCGGAATTCAAGTTAGGCCGCTCTCTCTCACTCGCACATTATGACTTCACAATGTGACGTCTTCTCGAAAGTCTCTAATCTCACTCGACCCGGAGGAGCGGGGGAGGGGAGTTCTTCTGTCCGATTGTCGCGATGAGAACGTCATCACCAGTGAATTTTACATGTCTACGTAAATTAGTGTCAAGTCTCTAAAAAAATTGATCCAGTCTGCAATGCAAACAGATGCATTGAATTTCAACCGTGATCATGATGTACCAGATTTTATGGATGCGAATAAGCGTCGGAAAAAGTGGGGTGGGGCAGAAGCTACCGGTTCGGAAAGTTTATCCAGTCCATTTACCACCAACCACTACCACAAACAAAACACGAATGCATCGTTTACAGAAACCGATCTACCCACATTTACCAGAGAGTGCAGAAGGGTGGGGGCGGTGTGAGTCATTGATTAAGTCTATTCCAGGGGGTATATTTAAATTTAAAAAAAAAACCGTTTTGAAGGTTGTCGATTGCCACTCCAAATCTGTTGGCCGGAAAATTTCAAAACATCACTCAGTCACTTTCCAGCTTGAAATCTAAAATCTGAGACATTACGATGGAAACGAAATTTCGACTGAATCGTGGTCGATCGCGAGAAAAACGATTCGATTCATAGATAACCAAGATGACAGCACGTAGTGTAGGTTTATACCT